CTTCTTGATTTGCCCACCAGCCACGGCAATTCAGTTCATTTCAGGGCAAAACGATAGCCGACTTTATTTCCGCAAAATTCTGTCCCTCTCCCCCATTACTCATCCTGCTTGCATTGGTTTTTATCAACAATATCATTAAGTCTGCATGTATACTGTATGTCAGGTCGGCAGTTTGAGGGTGTTCCAGACAGCAGGTATATTGATGATAGTTCTTGGAGTCATTGGAAAGTTTGGTGCCACCCTGGCGGCCATTCCCGACCCCATCCAAGGCGCCATTATCACCCTGGGGACAGCCATGGTGATCTCGGTGGGTCTGTCAAACCTGGAGTTCATCGACATGAGATCCTCCCGTAATATGGCTATCCTAGGAACATCACTGATGTGTGGCCTTCTGGTACCATACTGGATGAAGAAGAATCCAACAGCGGTCAGAACGGGTACTTATTGATCTGATCATGTAGTATTTTTAGTGAAAAACAGATACAGCGATGCATTTCCTAACGCTTGTCCAGAATAAAACAATAATTCTATACGAAACTACATGTGGGTTCTTCAGTCTATTACAATATGTCGGAAATATTGAAAATCGTTTGATTTTTGTACAAAATGATGGTCTATTGTCTATTAGTTAATTTATCATAATTGTTCATGATCTGGATTTGTATCATCTCATTCAAGGTGTAAATGAGATTGACCAGCTGTTCACAGTATTTTTGACCACGCCCATGTTTATAAGTGGACTTCTGGGTTTTTTCCTGGATAATACAGTCCCAGGTAAAGTTCCTGGAACCATTTTCGTTCTGGAAAATATGCCAATCAGTCTGACAACCAGACATCAATGATTAAGGCAATGACCTCAGTTTTCAAATAATAATAATAATAATAATAATAACAATATTAATAATAATGATAATGATATTGTTAAGTACAAATAAAAAAGAGGATGGCCTCTGCCTCTTCTTTTCTTTGAAAATAGCTTTGCAGCTTTAATTTGTTGGCCTTTATGTCTTTGTAATCATATCACCATTGACGTGAATGATTTAATTTGAATTTTATTGTCTGTTTTTTCTCTAGGTACTGTAGAAGAAAGAGGAATTAAAAGATGGAAAGAGAGTCTTTCTGGAAAATCGACAGCAATTTTGCAGGGAAGCATGAAGGATTACGACATTCCGTTTGTGTCTGACTGGATGAGAAAAATAAAATGTTTTAAACTCGTGCCCTGTTTACCTCCATATCAAGAGAGGACTTTGCAAGCTTGCGGCAAAGTTCTTAGAAGAAACAAAAACAAACGAAACAAATAGATTATTCCCTCCATAGCGAGCAACATGACTTTGACTCTGCATGGTACATAAAGTTATGACACACCGTCAAATACTAAGATAAACAGTTAATATTTCACAGTTTCTAAATAGTAAATAAATTAATTAATGAATATTTAGAAAAAGGTATCCGAAAGTTTGTTATATTCACAATCACTTATTCTTCCATGTATAAGTTTGCCCTGCTCACCTGTATTTAAGAGGGGGTAAATGATACTGAGGTCCCTCCCTTTACTGATATCGTAGTTCCTTCCTGGTTACTATGAAGGCTGTCCCATAAATTAAGAGTGACTGAATAAATTGAAAAAGTCACAACTTGGACTGTTTGTTGTTCCTGGGCTTTTCTTAAAACATGTTGCTTTAGCAACAAAATTTATATGAACAGCCACCACTTTCTGTCTATCATTATCATCGTTTTTGCTATATACTGAAGACCTAATGTGGAAGTGGAAAATACTTCGCTTGCAACGAAAATGCACTAAGAAACGAGAAATAACTTTTCTTCATAAAACATGTTGTCATGCCAACAGTATTACATTTGTACCCATGTATATATATGTATATATATATGTCCTTTGTGCTGAATTGGAGATATGTTGGGAGATATGACCCCATTCCCAGAGATTAGATGGATCCAACTAGATCGACCTAACTCCCTGGGGGCTCACGCTAAATATCTGACAGCCGAGCGGGCAAGAAAGTTAATTACCCCCCTACAGGTTGTAGTAGGCGGGACGGACATTTAGGCCGGATTATCTGACAGAAAACTGAGACTCTCCACAGGGAAAGATCGATCTAAAATCTAGGGGAATGCACCCATAGACTATGAAAATATCCCATCTGTGAAGAAAAATAGAAAATAATGTGTAAAAACAAACAAAAAAGTTAACAGCAACAAAACTGACTTGGAAACCTATCATTTTTAACCTTTTATGGATATAACATTGGTGACTTGACATACCCACATTTCAAAATATTGCAACAGGTAGAAAATCACGTTATGAAAAGCACAATTTGCCTTGGGCATGACCTAAGTGTAGTATGTAAATATTTTCTCTTATTCGTGGGCATGCCATTGATAAGAGATGAAAGGCCAGCATAACAGATATGAATGATGAGTGTCCCCTCGATCTAGCTTTTCACGTCAAACAGCTCATGCAAAATATTACTTCGTCCCATCTGTAAGCAGGAGCTAACACTGTCAGGGCTGCACATCGATAGATAGTTTGTTCAACTTCCACAACAAAATGATGCCATATTGGATTTGGCGGCCATATTGGAATTTTCAGACATGCCAATACATCCAAACTTGCTCAGAATTTCATTGTCCACAACTGTGCCAAATTTTATGCTTGTAGTGTATGTGTATGATGAATTCACCATTCTAATGGATATCTTGAATAAGTGGACTGCATTTTTACTTTTGGTGGCCATTTTGGATTTTATACACCTGAAGAGTTCATGCAATGGTGTTTTCTAACCTTCATATGATATTTTAAGCCATTAAAAAGACTATATACTTGACGTTTTAATTTGAAAGGGTATTTTGGTGGCCATCTTGGATTTGACAGCCATTGTGGAATTTTGAGGCATGCCCATATATATATCCAAATTTGCTCCAAATTTCATTGTGCACAAATGTGCCAAATTTCATGCTTGTAGGTAAAATATTTTTCACCAAATTCCTGCACATACGAAGATGTTAAAATGAAGAATATAGCCTTAGATGGTTTCAATATCGACTGGTCCATAGAATCTTAGGAACAAATTCTTTTTTATTTCGGATAAATGTAGTAGAATCAAATTTATGTGTATTTTGTATAAAAGAGGAGGAAACTTTTGTTCATTTGTTTTGGGAATGCAGTAGAATTTCAGAAATCTGGGAACAAGTAAGAGAATGGTTAGAAAATGAGTTAAATATAATAGAAAGATTAAACTGTATTGACATTATATTTGGAAAAGAACAAAGTTTGGTAAATTTAATTATTTGTTTGGTTAAAAAATTTATATATTGCCAGAAAATTACCAAAAGTGTCCCAGATTTCTTGAAAGTAAAAAGTTATATAAATCAATATATGGAAAGTGACTATTTTACTTATAGCAAAAATATGGATAATGATGGTTTTATTAAAAAATGGAAAAAATTAGGAAGTGATTTTGTGAATAGGAAATTTAACAGTTAAGTACCTTTAGAGCTTGTATGTATATATGGGTGTGAGAGTGTTTTGTAATTTTTTTATTTTGAAATAAATTTAAAAAAAAAAAAAAGAATATAGCCTACGTTATTCGGATCTCTGACACTCAGAGTAATGCACCGTTTACAGTGTTAACACACTTACAGTAACAATATTAGTAATAGATAGACCTCTAGTCAGCGAGAATTCTTGGAATTGTCAGAATGCGCTTGAATCCGCCTGGAATGATTCGTGCACATTTCGGCTGCATTATCTCTCAAATGCAGCTCGAATGTAGTTGGAAAACTAGGAATATCAATAATGCTGTCAGAATGCAGTCAGAATATTCAGAATACACTTCGAATGCCGTACCAGTGTAGTTCGATTGCAGGCTGAAATTGGATCGAGATGCATTCGAGTTGCATTCCGACTCATTCTAGCAGGATTTGAAATGTCTTGCCATTTCGGTTCTCCCTCATTTGTGATCAGAATGTTTCGAATGCTGTCGGAATGCCGTGAGAATATTTAGAATGCAGCCATAGTGCATCTAGAATACTATTTAAATACCATTCGATAATTTTCCACTTGGAATGCACTTCGAAAGTTTTTAACATCAGCAAAACATTCGGGCCGGCCACAAGAATGGGTAAAAATATTTGAAATGCCCTCGGATTTTTTAGAATGCTCTTCGATTATCCAGGAAGGCACAAAGAATTGTCTTTCCGACGGCATTCTTGCTCATTCCGCCGTGTGACGGGGTATAAGAAAGAACTAAAGCCAACAAATACCATATAGTTGTTTTTAAGAGGAAAAACTGCCCGGGCAGCCTCCTTCGAAATCACATCCAGCTTTTAACTATCCATGTATGTAAAACAGCTCTATATTTCAAGTCACCACTACGATTTTTTTCACTCTGATACATGCACGGGCTGTGTTGGCCTGTTTTGTATTATTCTTAAAATTAAATTTGGTCTGGTAATAACATTCCGGAGTGGACATCTACGCGTATATAATTGGTGCCCCGACACATTCAGAACAAGTTGAGCCGCGGACTAACAGATTCGCGGTTCAAATATGACCGACCCACTGCGTTGGCTCGAAATAGGGCATTACGTTTTAGACTTTCTTAGTGGATAACGCAATTCAAAGATTCCACGGTTCGTCCACATAATGACCAGTTAAATGATTAATTCGTTGACGCTCGGTAGCTACATATTCTAAGGGAAGTCTCCAACCCTTAACTCGTCTGCTCCGTACCCTATCGCTTCCAATCTCCTTCTTCGCTGCTTCCTTCTACATGTCTCCCCCCACGTGACTCTCCCTTCTATCTCTCAAGGTGCGCTTACTTATTTCTTATCTGCCTGTATAGTCGACGACGCAAAGTTTAACTACCTATAATTGTGTAATTAATTTCTTTACCTCGACGTTGTACAAAGAGAACGCCACATTACTTGAGAACAATTAGACCACAACACATTACGTCATACGACTTCAAAACATATGTATGTCGGCCACGACAGTACATGTACAACCACTGCCGCAGAAATAAAGATGCCGGATCACATTCGCTCGGACACTGACACTGGTAAATAACGTTTTTAGCTCTTTCATATCCACTGAACGTAAGTAACAATGTTTATGTACTTGGTGTGCGTAATGTATCGTATTTCATTGTGTCATATTGCACCCCATTTCCATAGATTTTTAGATCGATCTATCCCTGTGGGGAGTCTCACTAGATTACTGTCAGCTTGGCCGGCTTAAGCGTCTGTCCCGCCTACTAAAAGCTGTAAGGGGGTAATTAACTATGGTGACCGCTAGGCTGACTGCAATTTAGCGTGAACCCCCCAGGGAGTTAGGTCGATCTAAATCTTAATCTTTAGATCGATCTAAATCTCTGGGAAAGCACCCTTGGAGTAGATTTGCAATTTCAATAGAACAGAACACTTCTCACACTGCAACAAGCTGTTCTGCCTGATATTTAAAATGTCCATCGGGGCTCAGCTCGTTAAGCTTAAAATACCAACCATATGGTGGTAATCATCTGTAGTAGGCCTACAATGAAAACGAAATTGATGAAAACAAAGTGATGCTTAGATACCCGCACGAAAACGCACTAGATACTCCAGCGCAGTAGACTACAATACAATACAATACAATAAATTTTATTTCATGTCGGTTATAAATTGAATGGAAACATTAGCTTTACAGCTATTCTCCGACTGTGTAAGGACAAAAACATATCTACAATAATGCAATATTACACATGAAGTCTAGTAAGAGAGTAAAAAAAAAAAAACTACAAAGAGTATACAAAAACACGAAATCTATTAAGATAACAAATTAGAAAAAGAGAAAAAAAGTTTTTTTATGGGAAATGTGCAGAATGCTACATCTAAATCACCTGTGAAAAATAGACAATTTTACATACAATGCTCAATGATACAGTTATATAAACAATGTAAACATGACGTATTATTACACATTTTCACTAAAAGCATATAGGTAACACAGGCTACATCTGCATTTGGGTCCTTCCCAAAGCCTTAAAAGTGATTTAAACTCATTTGAATTGATGCTTTGCTTTCAGTCATTTGAGAGATCATTCCATATTTTTGGCCCAAGATATGATAAGGATTTTTTGCCGTATGTCACTGTGTTAAATCTGGGAATGTTTAGAGTCTTTTCTCCTCTAAGGTTGTAACTTGTTGTTCTTTCTTGGAAAAGGTCGGAGATGTAGGACTACTGCAATCATACTGCAAACATGCTTCAAATCTGCTTCTATTTTGGAGCTAATTAGCATATTTGAAACATGCTTCTATCATGCTGCTAATCTACTGCATTAATGCTCCTCTCTGTACAAACCTATGTACTTTTTAGAGTAGAATTGCAGTAGGCTATACTGCATTTCTACTGCAAATATGCTTCACACCACTACTGCGTTAATGCTTCTTTGCTACTTCGATACTACTGCATTTCCGTGCGGGAGGTCCTCTTTTATTTAAATTTAAGGCGGAATTGTAGGTTAGAGATTTTCTCTTAAAATAAAGGTCTTAGCTTTTTTTATTCCTGTCATATTCATTTAATGTATCCTCAAAATATCTAATTAGGCCTATGCCTGAAACATAGCTCCAACTTCATCGTGTGACGTAATATTGGGATTTTGGGGACAAAACACCATTTTTAAACACCTGATTTTCTCAGGCAGTGGACAGATATAAACATGCTTTTAATGGTATAATAACACTTGAACAAAGTACTACAAAACGGAGTCAGGGATTTTTCTTGGAGACTTATTGTTTATTTTATCTATGAAAACGTGAAATTACATCAAAATTTTAAGGAATTTTCACTTTCAAAGTCAATAAACTGGAAAAGAGAGGATCAATCAAAATTTCTTAAAAATTGCCGTAATTGCCGTTTGCCTTTTACCAATTTTTATATTCATTGTGCGTTTTAAGCCGAAGGACAGGAACAAAATGTCCTTATTTCACTGCCTGCAACAAAACCAGAGGTCCCTGAAGAGTGCGGCAAGACAGAAGGAAATGAGGAAAGGCTGCTATACCCCATCAGGTCCGTGCCCGCCATTCCAACTACATTGATTTTTGCACTGCAGGTATGGCCCAAAATGAATTAACTTTTGTAGACAAAAGAAGATTTTTGAATATTTGGGTCTTTAGAACTTACGAAATATCGGAGTGTCTGTGTTGTCCAACTTGAAAGTAACGAGTTATGAGTAATATTCATGACTTTCGTATACATTGCTAGCCTTTTGCTGGTGCAAAGAAGGAAAAGGGCTAGACTGCTGGTGGTATTATTATAAGGGCAACATAAGACGAGCAGGGGCGGATTGAAGCCGTCTTCTGGGTCTTCCATAAGACGGTCATATTTTCAAGTTTAAATTGACGGGTATCTAATTTTTTCTGTCGGCAGACGGTCAAAAATGGATGGATCAACAAAGATTATTTGGAAGACTGTCAGAAAATATCTCTGAATCCGCCCCTGACGAGCGCCTTCAAAGCAACATAAATTGCAGAGACAAGTAAATTAAATGAATCACAAAAAGTTTGAGTTTGACTCGGGGTGGGGTAAAATAGGTGCTGTCTGCCCGTCATATTTGATTTGTTTTTATACATATTTTATTTTCGGTCACCAGCAAAGTGTAATGTGCATCACGAGCAGCGTTTCCGTCCCTCTGATCGTTGTTAAGCTCATCTGTGCCGAGGACAACCAAGAGGTGCGGACGGAACTGTTCAGCGCAACAATATTTGCTTGTGGGGTTGCAACACTGCTACAGTGTAGCGTTGGAGTTAGGTGAGTCTTTCTCTCTCTCTCTCTCTCTCTCTCGCGTGTCATTTTCGTAATAAATTGAGTCCAGAAAGTAGCATATTTAAAATAATTAATTTTAGAGCGTTTTAAAGTTCTAAATAATAAAACATTTTAGATCTTACGAGAAATACGAGAAATTGCGATGTTATTCCTTTTCTACAGACTTCCAATCATCCAAGGCAGTAGTTTTTCATTCATAGCACCGTTAATAGCCATGCTTACAATTGAGGGAACGAAATTTGACGATGAAAATATCATAAAAGGTAATACATTTTTAGTTTTTTAGAGTTTTTATTGTATTTGTTACAAAAAGAGACAGATAGATAGATTCTAAACAGAGAGATAGATATAGATAAAAAGCATTAATGCATTTACTGTCAAATGTGCCTAGATTTCATAAATACTAAAATTCAGCATCAGGTGCAGGTTAAAAAATCGATTTATCAGCAGATTTGAGCCGCTTTAAAAATGCACTTTACTCTGTTCACATTACATGTTGCTTGTATTTCGTAGATGCCAGCAGTGCGTATTTCAACATCACACCTAATGGCACCGACGCAATGGACAGGGAGGCCATTTGGCAGGGAAAGCTTAACGAAGTCCAGGGGAGTCTTATGGTTGCCTCCCTCGTTCAAGTGATCTTAGGTGGTACGGGAGCGATCGGCGTTCTAATGAACTACATAGGACCTCTCACTATTGCGCCTACCGTAGCCATGATTGGACTGTCGGTATTTGATATGTGCGCGGATTATGGATCTGTCCACTGGGGGATATGGATACTGTGAGTGAAGTTACTTATTCCTCTGCCCTAACTTTGTTTAAATTTATTCATATGAAGTTGCAGCTATGTTCGACGTGAGATGACCTTAAATTTTGTAATTCCTTTTTTCCAGATCCCTTGCTGTAGGGTTTATTTGCGCTGTTTACATGAGGAAGGTCAAAGTACCGTTTTTATGGTGGAATAGAGAAAGTGGCTGCCACAAAACTAGTTGCCAGATATTTGTCCTGATACCGGTGAGGGCTTACTGCATCTAGGCATTTTTTACCCTCAGCTCCATAACATCGACTTCAATGAAACCACAAATTTTAGTATCAGGACAACGGTTATGCATGTTATATCGAAATGGAAAAGACTTAATAAAATTTTCTCAAAACCATTTTCCGTGTTTCAGGCTATATTTATGATAGTGATTGCCTGGATAGTGAGTCTCATTCTGACTTTAACTGGAGCTCTCCCAGACGACCCAGGACACCCCCAATACAATGCACGTACGGACGCTTACGTGGGTGGGATTCACACCGCAAAATGGTTTTTCGTACCTTATCCAGGTATTGGGTCTTTTTCCAAAGCTCACTTTTTCGTGCCTGCAGTCGTATTGTCATGATGGAGTCCCTGCACGTGGTTATTTCGGAATGACATGATAACTTGGTCTTTTTATAATAAATGTAGAAATTTCTGTCTCAAGGTATTGGTTTAATTTTTATGTCACTCGAACAAGATACCATGCGACCCATCATTTCGTTTTGGAATTTTTTCTTCATAACCACGTTTAAATAATTAAGCAATGGCGGATCCATTGGAGAGGTACAGTAGACAACTTGTACTAGTACTCCCACCATAAACTATAGCGAATTAAGCAAAAGAAAACCAAGCAATTTTTCATTCCCTGTGAAATGGTAAATTACCCTCGGCTTATGTTTTATGTTTGCTAGTAAAACTAAGCAAATTCCTTATCCATGTGCCCATCCTTAGCAAAATCGTTGATCTGCCAATGTTGTTTATGTCCAGTGTTGTTAATGTCCACAGGTCGTATTTTTCTCGTGTTTTAAATTCTGTTTATAGGTAAATATGGCCTTCCAACCGTCACTGTGGGTGGTGTAATCGGCATGATTGCCGCCACTATAGCTTCCACCATAGAGTCTATTGGGGACTACCACGCATGCGCCAGTGTATGTGAGGTGCCATCCCCGCCCTCTCACGCCGTCAATAGGGGTATCCTTATGGAGGGAATCGGTAGTATTATAGCCGCGAGTGTAGGGACAGGGCATGGTACAACTTCTTACAGCCAGTGCATTGGTGCCATTGGAATAACAAAGGTGACCTTAAAGAATTTGTTAGTCAAGAAACCTGATTAAGAATATTAATAGTAAGTTCAATTCATACAAAAACCAATTCTGTTTGGTTTACCTTTCATTGCCTCAACAGAAATATATCTAAAATTCAGACGCCCATTCGAAAATATAACTTTTAAGTTTACAAATGATAGGCCTACTGGCAAATTATACTTACAATTGATTAATTCATAATGACATTTGACAAATGTGTATGTGGCCGTGAAATTAGAAAGTTTAACAAAAGCACTGTGCTTTGGGGGGGGGGGGAGTCACGTTCTGCAAATAACAAACATATCATAAAAAATAAGCGAAATTGTTCTTCTGTTGTAGTTTAAGTAGACTTGGAATTTGGAAATGATATTAGTCCTACCTTCCTTTCTTCTCGATTTGCCCAAGAGCCACGGCAATTCAGTTCATTTCAGGGCAAAGTGATAGCCGATACTTTATTTCTGTAAAATTCTGTCCCTCTCCCCCATTACTCATCCTGCTTGCATTGGTTTTATCAACAATATCATCAAGTCTGCATGTATACTGTATGTCAGGTCGGCAGTTTGAGGGTGTTCCAGACAGCAGGTATATTGATGATAGTTCTTGGAGTCATTGGAAAGTTTGGTGCCACTCTGGCGGCCATTCCCGACCCCATCCAAGGCGCCATTATCACCCTGGGGTTAGCCATGGTAATCTCGGTGGGTCTGTCAAACCTGGAGTTCATCGACATGAGATCCTCCCGTAATATGGCCATCCTAGGAACATCACTGATGTGTGGCCTTCTGGTACCATACTGGATGAAGAAGAATCCAACAGCGGTCAGAACGGGTACTTATTGATCTGATCATGTAGTATTTTTAGTGAATAACAGATACAGCGATGNAAGTCTGCATGTATACTGTATGTCAGGTCGGCAGTTTGAGGGTGTTCCAGACAGCAGGTATATTGATGATAGTTCTTGGAGTCATTGGAAAGTTTGGTGCCACTCTGGCGGCCATTCCCGACCCCATCCAAGGCGCCATTATCACCCTGGGGTTAGCCATGGTAATCTCGGTGGGTCTGTCAAACCTGGAGTTCATCGACATGAGATCCTCCCGTAATATGGCCATCCTAGGAACATCACTGATGTGTGGCCTTCTGGTACCATACTGGATGAAGAAGAATCCAACAGCGGTCAGAACGGGTACTTATTGATCTGATCATGTAGTATTTTTAGTGAATAACAGATACAGCGATGCATTTCCTAACGCTTGTCCAGAATAAAACAATAATTCTATACGAAACTACGTGGGTTCTTCAGTCTGTTACAATATGTCGGAAATATTGAAAATCGTTTGATTTTTGTACAAAATGATGGTCTATTGCCTATTACTTAATTTATCATAATTATTCATGATCTGGATTTGTATCATCTCATTCAAGGTGTAAATGAAATTGACCAACTGTTCACAGTATTTTTGACCACGCCCATGTTTATAAGTGGACTTCTGGGTTTTTTCCTGGATAATACAGTCCCAGGTAAAGTTCCTGGAACCATTTTCGTTCTGGAAAATATGCCAATCAGTCTGACAACCAGACATCAATGATTAAGGCAATGACCTCAGTTTTCAAATAATAATAATAATAATAACAATATTAATAATAATGATAATAATATTGTTAAGTACAAATAAAAAAGAGGATGGCCTCTGCCTCTTCTTTTCTTTGAAAATAGCTTTGCAGCTTTAATTTGTTGGCCTTTATGTCTTTGTAATCATATCACCATTGACGTGAATGATTTCATTTGAATTTTATTGTCTGTTTTTTCTCTAGGTACTGTAGAAGAAAGAGGAATTAAAAGATGGAAAGAAAGTCTTTCTGGAAAATCGACAGCAATTTTGCAGGGAAGCATGAAGGATTACGACATTCCGTTTGTGTCTGACTGGATGAGAAAAATAAAATGTTTTAAACTCGTGCCCTGTTTACCTCCATATCAAGAGAGGACTTTGCAAGCTTGCGGCAAGGTTCTTAGAAGAAACAAAAACAAACGAAACAAATAGGTTATTCCCTCCATAGCGAGCAACATGACTTTGACTCTGCATGGTACATAAAGTTATGGCACACTGTCAAATACTAAGATAAACAGTTAATATTTCATATTCTTCCATGTATAAGTTTGCCCTGCTCACCTGTATTTAAGAGGGGGTAAATGATATTGAAGTCCATCCCCTTACTGATAGCGTAGTTCCTTCCTGGTTACTATGAAGGCTGTCCCATAAATTAAGAGTGACTGAATAAATTGAGAAAGTCACAACTTGGACTGTTTGTTGTTCCTGGGCTTTTCTTAAAACATGTTGCTTAGCAACAAAATTAATATGAACAGCTATCGCTTTCTGTTTATCTTTATCTTTGCTATATGCTGACAACATAACGTGGGATTGGAAACAATGAGAATACTTCGCTTGCAACGAAAATGCACTAAGAAATGATAAATAGCTTTTTTATAAAACATGTTGCCATGCCAACAGAATTTACATTGGTACCCATCACTTTTGTTGATCTACATGCATATCTGTCCTTTGTGCTGAATTTCATGTGTTGGGAGATATAGACTATGAAAATACCCCATCTGTGAAGAAAAATAGAAAAGAATGTGCATAAACAATAAACAAACAAACAAAAAAGTTCACAGCAACAAAACTGACTTGGATACCTATAATTTTTAACCTAATATGGATATAACATTGGTGACTTGACATACCCACATTTCAAAATATTGCAACAGGTAGAAAATCACAAGGACATAACTTTAACTATGGTCGTTATGAAAAGCGCAATTTGCCATGGGCATGACCTAAGTGTAGTATGTAAATATTTTCTCTTATTCGTGGGCATGCCATTGATAAGCGATGAAAGGCCGGCATAACAGATATGAATGATGAGTGTCCCCTCGATCTAGCTCAAACGTCAAACAGCCCATGCAAAATATTAGCTCGTGCCATCTGTAAGCAGGAGCTAACACTGTCAGGGCTGCACATCGATAGATAGTGTTCAACTTCCACAAGCAAAATGATGCTGGACCAGATTTCTTTGGACTCGAACACAGGTAAGTATAAGCTAAGATTTCTTCCGAACGAGTACAGTAGGGGGTTTTCGTTCTGTAACGGAATTTCAGAGGTCACATGAGTTTCTCAATGTGTATACCAAAGTCTGATAAGTTTGCACATACGGAGATTTTAAAATGAAGAATATAGCCTACGTCATTCGGATCTTTGACACTCAGAGTAATGCACTGCTTACAGTGTTCACACACCTACAGTAACAATATTAGTAATAGATGGACCTCTAGTCAGCGAGAGTTATGTGGCATACACGAGTGCGAAGCACAAGTTCATGTCACAAACCCTCGCTGACGAGGGGTCCTTAAGCGGGCTATAACGCATTCATACGAGACGTGCTGTTAGTACTAGTTACATCACGTCTGAGTCTGTTGTTCTCCAATTTCACCGTGATCTAAGGCCGCATTCACATCGAGTTGAGCCATGGCTCTACAAAGCCAAGACCTAAATATGGCGGA